GTATTTGTGAGGGATAGCAGGCATGATGTCTCGACTGAGTGATGTAGTGGTGACGGTTTGTGCAGCCAGTCAACTGAAGGATTGAAAATAGGACATATCTGACAAACACATCATGCAGAGTGCTCCATGTCAACCCTGCTGAGTTACACTCCATTTCTCTTTTGGTTCTGCAATGTAGCTTTATCGACAATAGCTCACCTTTTTGCAGGACACTCAATTGACATATTTGTTAAAGTACCAGAAGCAGAATAAACAGATGTTAATTTAGGTGGACCTATCACAGAACTACTAGGTGAAAAAGGTCTTTGGTTTCTGCAGCTTATGAGTCTATAAATTAGTAACCTTCTTTATAATTACAAATTCCCAGCAGGAAATCAAAGTTCATGCTCAACCATCCAGGTACAAAATCCAATAATGGTCAATCAGGTAATCTGGACAGTTTCTTTTTTGTGGAAAGACGTTTCACCCTCTATCCAGAGGGCTTCATCAGTCTGAGGATTCCCAAGTAAACTTTTACCTACTAAGCAGTAGACTCCTTTAGTGGACCAACCAGTTTGCTGGTGATAAGATGGTTTCTCGGGACTGTCCTCTTTACTTGGGACTCCTCAGACTAATGAAGGCCTCCGGAAAGAGGGCAAAACGAATTTCCACAAAAAAGAAACAGTCCAGATGACATGACTGACCATTACTGGTACCAGCAGGAAATGTTTTGCAGTATGGGCTGCATGTTAAACGTTTCAAGTAGCATCATTATCAGCAACCATCAAAGCAAATATTTTGCAATGTATGGGAGCTAACAAGAAATGGGAGAAAATAACAGTTTATTTAATGATATAGGGTGATAGCCTAAAAAAATACCCAAAGATTTGTATAATTCTAAGATAAAATAAATATTTAGAATATTTAGTCATAAACACCTTGCAACAGCACAATACCAATGCTGTATTAAGCTCATAGCATGCTATCATTCGTGTTATACAACCAGGTCATAAAGTGATCAACACAAATAACAGAAGTATAATATTGTTAACAACTTTATCTTGTTTATGAACAATTTCAGCACAAGGTCAACATTAAATAGTGATTGGACCAGGACAAAGTGGACATGAAGCCAAGTTAAACTGTAAAAACAGCCTCGTTGTTGTTTTGGTTTCTAAAGCACAAAGTGTTGGTGAGCGTGCACCAGTTAGGCTGCTATGTCAATATACCTACAGTATTTCTGCTGTTATATCTAGAGCAGAACTAGCAGCTAGTTAGCTCATAAAAATGGCAGGCAAAATATGTAATTGTATCTAACTTCTTGGAATGAGACCATGTTGTCTGAAGAACTGTGAGATATGGTTTGAGATCAGAATAGCCAAAGAACCACGAGCTTTTGCCAGAGTTTAAAGACACGGAGGTTCAAGAAAGGGGGTGGGCAGATGTAAAGGGGTTGGCAGACACAAACCATTAGCAAAATGACAGAATGAGGAATGTTGAGATGAAATTCAAAAGCCAAGCAATGAAAATGTTGCTTTTAACAAGCATCAAGGCAAGTAATCTTATAAATAGCAAGAAAAGAAGAAGCGTGAGGGTTTAATGTTTTTTTTTTCTGTCTCGGGTAAAAAAATGAGGAGTAAACAGGTGAGAAAGGACAGCCGTGCCATTAAGTTGGCTAAGCCATGACTATCAGCAACATTAATGCTGTCTGCTCTGCTTTCCTCACACTGGTCCCCTTTGCTTTGAACTACTTTTGGGTTTCCTTTGAGCATACCTGAATCCCAGACTCAGCAGCTATTATGGACCCTGAGCTGGTAATTGCACATTTCACAATTTCTTATGTCACTTCAAAGCTACAACAGTCTTGTCACCAAACGACAGAGCAGCACTTCTGAGGTCCATATCCAGGACTCAAGGACTACTAAAGCCATGCATTGTTTTTTCTGACAGTCACTCATTTTCAATAACAGTAAGCTTTAACTTAAAAAGAAATTGTACTAACACAAACCTAAGCTTTTAATGAAGTCAGTATTTTGAATATTTGTATTATACTCTCCAGTAAATATAAACTTAAAAGGGTGTACAATAAATGAGAGTAACTAATCTTTCTAAAACGTCATAAAAGGAGAATAGAGGGCTTTTTGTACTGGTTGTCCCATAAGAATGTGTAATAAAAGTAAAGAACATGCACACACACAAAAAAAAATAAAAAATACATTTTGGTACAACTAATAACACAGGTCTTAGTTTTATAAACGGATGTACACTACTGCTGAGTCATCCCTAGGAGTCGACTGATGACTAAGGGACTTTGGATGTCCAATAAATAATTGTGACAGTTTGCAGAACAAACAACAAAGCTGACAAATGTAAAAGTCAGAGAACCGGAGGTCTTCACCCCCAAAAAGCACGGCCTGAAAGGCTTGTAAGTCAGCAGATAAGTGATATTTAATAACCGTCATCTCTGTTTTGTCCCCTACATTGGTAGAGACAATCTGAGGTGCGTGTGGCCTGTTGCGAGCTCAGCATGAGCTGTCTGCTGTTCGCCAGCTCAGCTAACAAGAACATCAGAGCAAGCTTTTAATAAAAGTGTCCTAATATACACTGTAAAAACATACAAAGGCTATGCCCTGGTTCAATTCTAAAGCAGTGCAAGTGTTTTCTTTATTTCAAACAGCCTTATCAAACACAACAATAAAAACATTCACGATCTTGTAATGGAAAAATGGCTTTGACCAATTTGAACAAAGACAGAGAACGCCTCGGGGTGTCCTGCTGTGTCTGACGTGTGGGGTTCAGGCCTTTTGGTCCCTGTGAACTTTAAACTATAGTTTTATTGGACTGAAGTTGTCCTAAAGGATGTCTTTCAACTGGCAGACAGGTAAGCTTAAGACGTGCAACATCACACCAACACTCTAAAGCCACACTAACGCAGATATTTTTCAAAATAAAGGTTTTTCGCTGGGGTTGCACCTCTCATTCATATGCAGAAGGTACCTTTGGTGAAAAATACTGAGATGTTTAAAATGGCTTTTCAAAGCAGTGCTTTTTTTAGCCACTCAGTTTTTGCTGTTTCATATAGCGCTTTGGAGAAATGATGACATAGCAGCCCCTTTTCACAGATGCTCACTGTTAATTTGTGCCTAACAGACCACAAAATCACAGCTGCTTTTTCAAGTTGTTCTGCGTGTGTCTCACTTTTCTAAGACCATTTTTACCTTTAAACTCTGATCATTTGCTGGACAAGATTAATAACTGTGAGGAAAATGTAAATTTTATCAAATCAATATTAAGCTGCTATTGTATATGCACAATTTATAGCCATGCTAACAATAAACTTTTGTCTGTATTTTTGGTTATGTGGAAGTTTTTGCCACCTGCTGTTGTGGCATGTCTATCTCAGCATTTTAGTTTAAATTCCTGGTTGTTATCTCGACAGTGACGGTTTATGCAGCCTCTCAGAGTTGTGTGTTGAGCCCCCTCCTGTTCACTCTGCTCACATATGACTGCGCACCGACCCATCCAAGCTGTTACGTTGTAAAGTTTGCAGATGATACAGCGGTGGTGGGATGCATCACAAACAACAATGAGTCTGGCTATAAGGCAGGAGGTGGAACATCTGGAGAGCTGGTGCAGGAAGAACAACCTTCACATCAATGTGAAGAAGATGAAGGAGATGGTCATGGATCTTAGATGGAACAAACACACCCGCCCCAAATATAAGAGGATCTGCAGTGGAAGTGGTCTCCAGCTACAAGTACTTGGGTGTGCACCCGAATAACAACCTCAGCTGGAGCAACAACACTACCAGCCTGATATCGTTGGATGTAACTGGGACGCTGTGTACACAATTTCATTCCAGCTCATGCACCACATGTGTTGCGAATGACAATAAAGAACCTTGAAACTTTGAACCTTATATATATATATATATATATATATACACAAAGTATACATATATATATATAAATATACACAAAGTATATATATATATATATATATATATATATATATACTGTATATGTATGTATGTATATATGAATGCATGTTATACATCCATTGTTTACTTTCTGAGAGTTTCATTAAGTATAAATATCAATAGATAAATAGGTTTAAATTATTGTTTTTATATATTAATGTTTCTGTTAACTTATTATTTTATACATGAATGTTTCTGTTCAGTGCCTGAGTTGACTTATGTTGTGACTTGGTGCTATATAAATAAACTGAATTGAATTGAATTCAAATCTGTCCAGTAGCTCATGAAATATTTGGCTAACAGTTAAACAGTTAACGGCAAAAACAATGAAATCCAAGATCTCTCATAGAACGTAGCCCTGATTTCACCGCCGTGTTGTGAAGTGGTTTCTTTGTTCTAGATGATTGCAGGAAATGATTGTTGTAGTGGGTAAACATCCAATCAGGGTCACTTCGCCATTTTTCTTTGCAAGGAAGCAGCAAAGACATATATTTTGATGGTAATGCTTCTGGATACATTTTCTGCACTTTTCAAAGTTCATAACTTCCCAAAGTTTCTTGCAGTGTTGCAACATTATGATGAAGAGTCTAAGAAATGGCAGCATTAAACAGGGTCACTGCTCCCACAGGAAGAGCACGGGGCTCCGTCTGCCCCGTGTTTAATTAAATTCTGGTATCAGCTCGTTTCCTCTTATCCCTCCCTTCCTCTTCAACATGCATGAAATTGCACAGCATTATCTATTATTTATTCCCTCTCATTTGCTTATTGTTTCTTGTGGATGCCTTTGACGGGCCACTTGCCGCTCTGTTGCCTCTGATATGACGCTCTGCTTCAGCTCACTTACTGCTCGGGCCCACCTCCTCTGCAACTCGGAGTCCAACTCATTTGCTGCCTTTGGTTGTGGAGCTATACCGATTTTTTTTTTTCTTCTCTCTCGCTTCCCCTTTCACCCAATGACAGCGCGGTGAGGTGCTATGAGGGCTGAGTGCTAATGAGCTGACTCTGCAATGCTGGGGGATGATGCTCTGGAACAGAGGGGGAGTCAGAGGACGGAGCAGTTGGAGACGCTCTGGCAGACGGGGGAGCCAAGGGGCCGTTCTGACCATGTCATGAAGGGGTTAGAAGGACACAGCTGCAGCAGCCAGACAGACAGAGCTGTGTGCCAACAAAAAGGTGGCTGTTATGTCAAATTCCACTTGTTTAAAATGCTCAACTAGCCGTTCCTTATATTGTGCCGTTTAATGCTCATCAAAGGTTCAAACAAATCCTTCACAATCTGTTACACACTCAGAGTATGTGTTTGGAAGGACTCTCAGCTACTACCACACCACATTTCCTCTCGATATCTATAAAGCTGACAGATGTGTATTAATATTTGTGTTTGCTGAAGACAATTAACTGTAGCAGCCATCTGTAATCAAATTTACTCACAAATTTAATCAGTTGAACATTGATATCCACTGACTTATTTCTAAGAATGTCATTACAATATGTCCACTGGTTCTTGAGATATTATGCTAACAGACAAATAGAGTTGACTCCATCAAGTAATACCACCGTTTTAAACATAGATCATGCTAGGTCTGTTAACGCTCAGAGAATATCATGAGATAACTCTGACTTATTGCCACAGCAAATTTGAGCTCAATATGAGTTACATTTACTGACTTAGAGCCATTTTTGTTTGTGATAAAGTGGATTAGCGGTGGTAGCCATTTTAAATGTGGTTCATTTCAAAAGTTCATCAGATGAGGTGCACATTAAGTCATAGATTTCTGAGTGTTTCATTGCAATTCATAGAGTGGTGCATGACATTTTTTTGCTAATAGACAGACAAAAACACATAATTACAGAAATGCCTGTAGTTTGTACTGGCAGACAATAAAAATGTGTTTATATGTTTTGACTGATAAGTTCATACTTCTTATTTGATAAACAGTCTGCTTGAAAAGATATAGGAGCATCATTAAATCCGGTTCTGTGGAAACAGAAGAACGCTTACTGTTTGGCACAATACAGACAGAAATACAGGAAATGACTTAATATGTGTGACAACTTTTTACCATTTAAATGATATTTGTATAATTAAAGTTTTGTTGATTTATGCTTTTGCCTACGTTTGATGGGAACAAAGTGTGAAGAAAAAAAAAAAAAATACATGACGTCTGCATCTATTTTTTTTCCAGTGAGACTTGAAGAACTCCAGCAGGACTTATCCCACCTGCAGGGCATGGCAGAGGATGCTCACTCACATGCATGCGTGACCGAGAAGCTGTTGGACGACTCCAGGTTGTCCACGTTGTAGTTGAGATGAAACGGCTTCTCGGTGGTGTTCTGGTTGGTGTTGTAGAGTTGGACAGCGAACCTGAACGCGCTGTGCTCCTGCACCGTGGAGCGCATGAACAGCCCCCCTTTGGAGAGATGAGAACCAGGATCAGACACCTGAACTGTCCCACAGTCCCACTCGCTTCTGTTTCTATCCGCTTCGGGTTCAATGATCCACAACTCTACGCGCCTTTAACTCTTTGGTTTTCTCATTACATATACCTTTTTTTTAAATTGCTGTTTTTTTAGACATTTATTAAGCAGCTTTAATGTAGTTTTCCAAAGCAGATGCGTTTCAACACAGAAAAGCAAGTTGCGCAAAGCTGCGCGCGCATGTTTCTTGGATAAAAATGAATAAATAACGCATTTAATTTGCCTGTCGTAACGGACGCGCGGTCTGCAGTCGCGCAACTCGGCAAAGCGCAGACTTACCGATGTTAATTTGATTGGGGAAGCCTGCGGACGACTGCTCAAAGAGCCACAGGAACAAGAAGAACACCACGCGCTGTGCCATTTTCTCTCTCCGACCTCTCTTCTTCAACTCCTCAAAAGGCTCCCTCTCAGCAGATTCATATGTTCGGGATGAAAGCAAATGGATATCCAGTGGAGAGATGATGGTGGCTCACAGTGCACCAATTCATTCATTGAGGTGCAGCCCAGCTGCAGCGCAAAGAAAAAAAAAATCCTCCTCTCCTGCAACTAAGAAAGAGAGAGGCGCAGGGAGAAGGAGGCTGAGGGGGAGGGGAGGAGGGGGAAGGAAGATGGAGCTGATCTGAACTCTGATTGGACCCGCCGCGGCTGGCCAGTGTTGGTCAAACTTGGTCTGACGTTAAATTAAAAATGATTCCCCACCACCACCACCCCCAGGCGGCAGACTTGTGACACCTAGGAATAAGCGCGGCCACTTATCAATACGAGTCCACAGCTGACCCGTTCAATAAATAAATAAATAAATAAAACAACACTGCAACGTCAGGTGGGCCGGGACTCCCGCGCGCCTGCTGCTGCCAGATGTGGAAGCTGCTGCATTGTCCAGACGCATGGGAAGGGCGGTGGTGGTGGTGTTGGTGGTGGAGAGGTGCAGCAGGTCTAAAGCTGTTTTGTCAGGAAAAGGGATCTCAAAAGTTTGTGTCCAGGAGTCTCTGACAGGCCCATGCTTGGGACTGAGAAAACAAATATTGAAGGAACTCAGTGCAAACTCATAAAAAAAAAACAGGAAAAAAAAAAGAAAGACTTTTTTATTTTTATTTTTTACACCACTGTGTAAAAATTTAATTTGAAAGCAAAATTTGTGACTGCATCACCATTTGTTTGAATTTATTTGTGAAAAGAGATAAAAATAAATAAAATTCCTACATGTGTCCAGTTAACCACTGTTTTTGTTTGTCCAAACAGGTCTCACTTGTAAATGAGTCGTCGAGGCCCAATGTGATTTATTTGTTTAAATAATGGTTGAATGAATGAAAAAAATATTTAAAAAAAAAGATCAAACTTACCTGGAGTTTTGCAACAACTTCATGTGTTTGCATTCTGGCCTCTGCATGTTTGATGCTCCAGAATTGTTTGACCACAATATTTACTCCGTCTCAGTTGTTGCTCTTCCTGGTTTCTTCCATGTTAAGCAGCAGATTCACTCTAATATTTTCACCTAAACATTTTCTCCAGAAATCACACTGGTCTGATTCAGCCATATTCATACACAGACTATGCCCAGTATAATGCAGGGAAATCAGGTGACTCAAACTTTCAGCGGTTTGTAGAAAATTCAGCTTTGTTTACACTGAGTGTGGACCCACATTTCAAAACCGCATGCCAACAAGTCTGCAAAACTATTGGAGTAAACAACAAAGTCCATGCTCATTAATCCAGGTATACAATCCAACATTTTTCAGTCAGGTCGTCTGGACAGTTTCTTTTTTTGTGCTGAAACATTTCGCCTTCGATCCGGAAGGCTTCATCAGTCAAGGAAACACACAACAAAACTGATTCTTCCCCCAACAGCTTACTCCAAAGTGGAACAAACCAGTTATATTGGTGCTAAGATGGTCTCTTTGGTACACCCCTCCTCCATTGCTGGCCCTCTTCCTTGTTGACAGTCGCGCCAAACTGGTTGAAACCAACAGGAGACCATTTTAGCACCAACATGACTGGTTTGTTCCACTCTGGAGTAAGCTGTTGGGGGAATAATCAGTTTTGTTGTGTGTTTCCTTGACTGATGAAGCCTTCTGGATGGAAGGTGAAACGTTTCAGCATAAAAAAAGAAACTGTCCAGATGACCTTGTTATGATAAATCTCAGGAATCGTACTCAAATTCAGACCAGAGCTGAGAAGGATTACAGACACGGTATAAAAGTTCAGTGAGTTTATTTACAGTGCTGGGGAACAGGAAGTCTGAGTTCCTGGAAGGGAGGGGAAAAAAGGGGAAGACAGATTAATGATGGGTAGGAGAATATTGTTGCTACTTTGGATAATTGAATCCTTCTCTTACAGGTGGATCTTCGAAGGCAGACTCAGGGAGGTAGGCGAGGTGTCTGTTGGGTGAATGAAACCTTGTATTTTCCAAGAGACGTGATGAGTATCTTGTAGGTGGCGGCTGATGGAGGAGTGTCCCGCTGGGTGATGAGGTTCCACAGGAAATGAGTCCAGTTTGGAGAAGATTCGTCTAGGTCTCAGATCTTGGAGGTGAGTCCAGGTCTTGCCTTAAAATCACAGGGAGACACAGGTTGATCAACACAGGTTCACAAGAGAAAACACTAAAATGGCTGTCTCACAGTACCCAAGGTGACTGAATGATTCAGCGAAGACTGGAACCTCCTCCAAGGCTTAAGTAGCAGCTGGACTCATCAACCGGATTGAAGACAGGTGGTTGCTCAGGAACTCCATCACCAGCACTCAGCAATTGCAGGGTGAGTACACACAACCGGCACAGGCCTAACAGACCTGACTGAAAAATGTTGTATTGGAGTAAACATAAAAAAAAACCTATAATTTTGCCAAAGCTCAGGATAAACTTCTTTTAAGTTTGATTTCATTTGACTACTTTTACAGTGAGTATGTTTAAAGCGAAGGTTAAAAAGCTTTAATTAAGAGCAGCAAACCTGTTTCATGGTGGTCAGCCACACAAAATGACTTAGTGTTTCAGAGAAAACAAAAGGCAGCGAGAGTGGAGCTGTCCGTGGTTCTGAAAGCACAGCTAGTAGGAAACACGCAATTTATGCTGTTTTTATATAGCCTTAATAAGAAACATTTTAAATACTGTTTGATTTGTTTAAAGTGCATTAGTTACTTAGAGTCAGGTATGCAATATATTTGATTAGTTTTACTTAAATGCAAATGTAGCATCAATAATTGATTGTCCTTGATAGAATATATTTTAACATAGTTCTGTGAAAATATTGTATTATGAACAATAAATATCTTACCAGTTGTAGATAGCAAAGTTTGTAGAAACAAAGTTTGACCCTGATTGGACAGATGAACTAACAAGTAAAGTCAGAGCGAGCTGAGACCAAATGGGTCTGTTGCCATCTCAAAACAACTCTGGTTTCAAAACATTTACCGCAGTCATTCATGGAAATACTATTTCACACAATTTTACCACTGACTTTTTCATGTTTCATTAATATTTACATATAATTATTTGGTTCTTTGTTAATCTAAATATTTTAGCTAAATAGCCTTTTTTTTTTTTTTTTTTTTTTTTACTGATAAGGCATAATGTCTCACTAAATGCCGAAAGTAACAGTGTGAACTTCACTACCTTTGGCATTACAGCTATCTTGTGTGTTTAACTGTCAGAGCTTTGCTCTACATGGGTTACATTTCTATGTGGGCGGAGGGATCTTACCCTTCAGGTCATGTCAATTTGACCGAACAGACTGGCAGGTTTTCAGAGAAGCTGCTGAAAATGGAGGATCGCTTGATCTGGACCAATACACATCCTCAGTTCTAGGTTACATTAGTACATGTACTGACACCATCTCCACTAACAGAAATGTTATAAGCTACCCAAACAGAAAACCTTGGCTGAATGCAGAGCTGCGTACCCTGCTGGAAGCTAGGAACACTGCCTTCAGGTCTGGAAACTCAGAGGAGCTGAGTTGGACAAGAAAATAGCTGGTTGCTGGTATTAAGAGGGCCAAGGCCACATATGCACAGAGGATCGAGGGTCAATTCATCTCACAAGACCCTCGGAGCATGTGGAGGGGCATTAAATGCATAACAGATTATAAAGGAAGAGCGAACAATGCCTCAAAGACCCATCTTTGCCTGATGCCCTCAACAAGTTCTATGCACGCTTTGAAGACCCAAACAGACCACCAGGCACCGGACTCACCTGACCACCGGATGAAGAGCATCTCAGCGTGACCTCAGCCGAAGTAAGGAGTACCTTCAGGAGGATTAATCCGTACAAAGCAACTGGCCCAGACAACATCCCCAGAAAAGTGTTGAAGGAATGTGCTGATCAGCTCTGTGAGGTGCTGGCAGACATCTTTAACACCTCACTTACCCTTGAGACAGTTCCCACCTGCCTGAAGACTACCACCATCATCCCAGTCCCAAAAAGCTCTACAGAGACTGGTCTGAATGACTATCGGCCAGTGGCCCTCACCCCGATAGTCGCTAAATGCTTCGAAAAACTGATCATGACTCACATCAAAACAACCATCAACATCAACGAGGACCCTCATCAGTACGCATACCGTGAGAACCGATCAACAGAGGACGCCATCTCCTCTGTGGTCCACACTGCGCTCAACCACCTGGAGCAGAAAAACTCTTACGTCCGTATGCTCTTTGTGGACTTCACATCCACCTTCAACACCATGATCCCCCAAACCCTGATGGATAAACTATCCACACTAGGACTAAGCCCCTCCATTTGCAACTGGGTGCTAGACTTCTTAACAAACAGACCACAGTTAGTGAGGATCCACAACTTCTCCTCCTCCACAATAACCCTCAGCACTGACTCTCTTCAGGGATGTGTGTTGAGCCCCCTCCTGTTTACTCTGCTCACGTATGATTGTGCAGCTACCCATCCAGGCTGTCACATTGTAAAGTTTGCAGATGATACAGCGGTGGTGGGATGCATCACAAACAATGATGATTGCAGCTACAAGCAAGAGGTGGAACACCTGGAGAGCTGGTGCAAAGAGAATACCTTCACATCAATGTGAAGAAGACAAAAGAGATGATTGTGGACTTCAGAAGGAACAAAAACATCTACACCCCCCTGAACATAAAAGGATCTGCGGTGGAAGTGGTCTCCAGCTACAAGTACTTGGGTGTACACATGAATGACAATCTCAGATGGAGCAACAACACCACCAGCCTGATCAAGAAAGCTCATCAGAGACTCTACTTCCTCAGACGGCTGAGGCGAGCTGGTCTGGGAAACTCAGTCCTCACCTCCTTCTACAGGTGTGCAGTGGAGATCATCCTGTGCTCCAGCATCAATGTGTGGCATGGAGGCTGCACAGCTGCAGAAGGAAAAGCTTTGCAGAGAGTGGTGAAGGCTGCACAGAAGTCTGGCAGAGTCAGCTTCCCCACCATCACAGACATCTGCACCTCTAGATGCAGGAAGAGGGCTACCTGGATCATGAAGGACCTCACTCACCCAGCACACTCACTTTTTGCCCCACTCCCCTCAGGAAGGAGGTTGAGGAGCATTAAGTGTAGAACCACTAG